CCTCCAGAAAAACATACAACAGAATAAAGTCCACCTAGGCACTGGAGAAGTGAGCAAATACAGGATCTACTTGGGATTTATGTAAGGGACAAAAATTTACTAGTTGGAAAATAGGGTCTGTAGCCAAATTCTTCTACTACTGTGGAATAATACTCATATTAAGAACTAGTAAAACAGATGGATAACCACGTAGATGACTTTATCATCACTGTTCCACATTATTTCCCTTGTAAAGCTTTTTATCTTAATAGATGGTTTGGGTTGGAAGGGACTTCAAAGATCCTCTAATTCCACCTCCCACCAGACCAGGTTGCTCAAAGCCCCATCCAGCCTGGCCTTGAACCCCTCCAGGGATGGAGCATCCACAGCTTCTCTGGACAACCTCTTACAGTGTCTCACCACCCTCACAGGAACGAATTTCTTCCTAATATCTACGCTCAATCTCCTCTCTTTCCATTTAAAACTAGTACCCCTCATCACTACACTCCCTGGTCCCTCCCCATCTCTCCTGGAGACCCTTTAGGGACTGGAAGGGGCTCTAAGGTCTCCTCAGAGCCTTCTCTTCTCCAGGCTGAACAGCCCCAACTCTCTCAGCCTGTCTTCACAGGAGAGGAACACCACTCTTCTAACTTCCAGAATAAAAAGTTAAAAAACCAAAATAATCTCTCTGATGTTACAGGAGGAGCATGCTTCTTGGAACAAGCTTTTAAAGCCTTACATAAAGTATCATACAAAGGACCAGCAGAGCCAGTTTTCTGCTTAGTCAGAACCCATGGGGCCTCTCCATACCTATTGGTGTCACTTAGGATGCTATGTATTTTATTTAATCAATGCAAAGCCCACAGGAAACCACTTTAGGGTTTAAACTTCCTAAGCCACTAAAGTGAAATTAATATGCTTCCCCAAAGGAGCTTCAGTAAAATAACTGCCAGCACATTGTTTTAGCAACCTTTACAGCAACCTCCACCTGAAAAATCAGATGACAGATCGAGGTGAAAGCCCCTTTACACTTTAGAACATAAAGCTGGTCTAAAGGAAAGAGTTTGTAATGAATTAAGAACAAAATGAGGAAACAGAGGGAGCTTTTCATCCTCCTTTGGCCGAAATTGACTGTACAAGTCTTAACCTTTGTCCCTTCAGGTCACTGCATTTGCAGCATTGTTCTCAAGGGTCTGTCTTATCCCTGACCAAAAAAAAGAACTAAATTGCTTTTTGCCAGGTACTTTTGAGGGGTAACAAGGAAAGGGATCAGTAAGTGTTTCAATACCTATACGGTCTCTCCTCCCTTTTTCTTGGCCACGGAAAGAGTGGGAAAAGCAGTGACCTCGAGCAGGGATGCTCTCTTCGGAGGTGAACAGCTCTCCCTGCAGGCTTACCAAGAGACACACCAGCCAAGGGGAAGGACTGAAGAGACCTATGAGGAGTAAGCGAGGGGAGCAAAGGAATTCACAAGTAGTAGCATAAATTGGTTGGATTTGATTGCTTTTTGGATCTCAGGATCCTCTACTACTGCCTTGGGTCAGGGAACAGACCTAACTGCAAAGGCTTGGCAAGAGAGGGAAATGCTTACTGACCAGGCAAGAAGTGAGCCAGTGAAGCAAACACAGCCAGTGATTGCCCGGGTTCCTCCCAGCAGTTCCTTCAGACAGCAGGATTTAAAATAAGGACAGTTTACCAGCAATAGCTGCACCTCTTCCTTTCCAATGCTGACAAATGCACAGAACTTGTGCTGAGCTTTGCAGATGAAGTTTGCAGCTCTAGCTTGCTGTGGATGGAAGCCACAAGAACTAAGAGAAATATTGGTTCCTGGAAACAGTTCTCTTTCCGCAACACAGTCCTGAGTTATTCCATGCATAACAGGGGCAGGCCAGAGCAGGGGCACCTGAAAAAGAAACACACATTTAACAAGCCCTCAGCTGAATGTCTTTTTTTTCTACGCTACAGGCAACAGCACCTGTACAAAATGACAGAATCTTACAATACAATCTACCTTTGCATGAGCTGCTTTTATTTCCCCAGCACTGCGAATACACTTTTTCTACACTACAGGCAACAGCACCTGTACAAAATAACAGAATCTTACAGTACAATCTACCTCTGCATGAACTGCTTTTATTTCCCCAGCACTGCGAATACAGCACCTTCCAGAGACACCAGCACCAGGTAGGCTCTGCTGGGCATAGCACCTGCCCAAGTGTGTGTTCAGCAGGCACACAAGAGGGACAAAACCCCAGCAGAGCAGGATGCAGCAGTATTTCGAGATAGTTAAGAGCAAAGGACCAGGTAGGGAAAGCATAAAAAGCCTAACAGTACCTACCTACTACTGCTGCTGCTGCTTGTTTGACCCTGGCAGCCCTAACTCAGGACTTTCAGCATAGGGCTCTTTTCTTCCTTTGCTCTCAGTAGGCTTTATGGTTCTATAAAGAAGAATCAAAAAAAGCCCCATCATGAAGGGCAAGGAGAACAAAGCACTACAATCATCACAGCAAACCTTAAGTTTCACAGAAGTAAAATCTTCAGTGGAGATGTGACTAATTTAAAGCAACATACCAATTTATCACAACGTACAACAGCTGACTGAAATCTTCTCCTCATCAGGGTCCTGAGTACACTAACAGGCCACACTTGTCCTTATTAGTGTCACCTGGGCCCTCCACACCCACTCTTTGCCCATAGGCCCAGAAGCTCCATTTAAGCTCAGGCTTGGGGCTTCAGTGCTTGTCTATCCTATTGTGTGGGTGTTTCAAGCCTTGTCTCCATCCTTACCTCCTTGATACTTTCCAACCTTACATTCTAAGTAACTTTATCTCTAATCCCCTCTCTGGCTCAATCTTATAGACTGTCCTTTTAGACACACATAGTTTCTTTTGCCCTCTGGCACTATCTCTCTTTGCCCCTGAAGAGATTCCTCACATGGATCCTAGGCCTGGTTCATCGCTCACCTTTCCTGGGACTACGGATGAATCTTGTCAGCACCTGGCTACGCCTGCCATGTCCAAGGCTGGGACTGCACCCTGCTGGAGAAGACACTGCCTGCACTTAAGTTGCCCACAGCTACCGGTTGGAGCAGCCCTTCTGCTCCCTACAATTCCCTTTCCAGTGACTGTATTTAAAATGGCTTACAACCAGTGCTTACACGAGGTGCTGGAGCGAGTGCAGAGGAGGGCAACGAAGCTGGTGAGGGGGCTCACACATGTTGTCTCTTTTACCCCAGCCCTCTGGTGCTATCTCCCTTTGCCCCTCAATAGATTCCTCACATGGATCCTAGGCCTGGTTCATCGCTCACCTTTCCTGGGACTACGGATGAATCTTGTCAGCACCTGGCTACGCCTGCCATGTCCAAGGCTGGGACTGCACCCTGCTGGAGAAGACACTGCCTGCACTTAAGTTGCCCACAGCTACCGGTTGGAGCAGCCCTTCTGCTCCCTACAATTCCCTTTCCAGTGACTGTATTTAAAATGGCTTACAACCAGTGCTTACACGAGGTGCTGGAGCGAGTGCAGAGGAGGGCAACGAAGCTGGTGAGGGGGCAAGGGGTTTAAAAGCGCACTGAAGTCTCCCACTGCCACATGCGGACTCTTGAGTTTCTTAGGCTGGGTTCCCACCTCCTCCTCATCTTCACCACCACCCCCCTTCCCGCCCTGTTTGCTCCCTTCACGCAGGCTCGGGCGCCACCACCGGGCGGGAACGTCCCAAACTCCCTCACGCCGGGAGGGAAAGGCGCTCGGAGGGCAGGGTCAGACTTCCCACCCGCCCCCGGCGCGGCGGAGGGGAGGCGGGCCCCGTGGGGGTCCCCCCA